AGCATCCACAGCCACTCGGTCTTGTTGGGATTGAGTACGAGTTTGTTTACCTCCATCCAGATCCTGACAGTTTCCAGGCATCGGCACATCACGTCCGCTGCTACATTGAGCTGGCATGGGGCAGATAGATACAGTTGCGTATCATCTGCGTATTGATGGTACTTTATCCTGTGCCGTCATATGATCTCACCCAGCGGTTTCATGTAGATGTTGAATAGGAGGGGGGACATGACCGAACCCTGCGGCACCCCACAATTGAGGGTGCCTCTCACTCCCACCTCCTCCAGACGTCGCAGGAAGATACCATGGTTGATGGTATCGAAAGCCGCTGAGAGGTCAAGAAGCACCAGGATAGAGGAATGCCCTCTATCCCTCGCTTGCCAGAGATCATCGGTCAGTGCGACCAAAGCAGTTTCTGTGCTGTACCCAGGCCTGAAACCAGACTGAAAGGAATCCAGATAATCCGCTTCATTCAAGGTCCGTCGGAGTTGAAGCGCCACCACCTTCTCAACAACCTTCCCCAAAAAAGGGAGGTTGGAGACCGGATGGTAGTTTTTCAGGACGGCTGGATCCAGGGAAGGCTTCTTGAGGAGGGGCCTCCCCACCGCTTCCTCTAATGGTTGTGGAAAAGACCCCTCCTGCAAAGAACTGTTGGTGATCGTCTGGAGCCAGTCGTGTGTCACCTCCCATACTATCATGCACTCAACACACAAATTAAAACGCAGATTCTTAGGTCAGCGCAGTCTGAGGCGGCTGAGATGGTAACAATTTTTTTGGGGGGGGAGGAAAACTCCTCACTCTTCCCCCACGCAGTCTGGGAAAGGGTGCCAAAGTCTGGGGGACTGGAAAGGCTGGCGCTGGTTGAAAGGAGCAAGTTCCCCAGTTCTTCAACCCTGTCCTCCCTCTCTGGGGGGGCCATATGTCGCAAAACGGTAATCGACATGGCAGCAGTTCCTCTGGGCCTTGCACGCTTGAGGTCCCAAGGCCCAGAGCACTAGGGCCACAGTAGCCGGGGCGACAACGAAAGAAGGGCCCATGCTGAGCAAAGCATCCAGTGGCAACGGTGTCCAAAGTCAAAGCCACAGTGAAGGAAGAAGAGGAGGGAGGGAGGGGGAACTGCATCCAAGATGGAATGGCGGCGGCAGAAAAGCCAGCCACCCAGCCCCAGGTCACACCAACACAGGTTTCTCCAGCTCTATGGCTCCACAGGCAGCAGGGCAGGCACTGCGGCATGACCCAGCGCCCCCCTGAAGCGGCAGAGCCAGGCCAGCGGTGATGGGACAGCGGTCGCGGTGGCCAGGTGGGCGAAACAGCGGCAGGGGCAGGTCAACGGCTGGAGCGAATGAAACAGCGGTCGGCAGGGTCGGCAGTCTCCTCCAGGCATCAGGCCAAGCTGCGGTGGCCCAAACAGATAGACCGGTGGCTGCGGCGACTGGAGCAGGTGACTGGGGCAGGCGGGGCAGCGGCAAGATCGGCAGCTGCCCCAACGCAGCAGGGCCAGCTACGATGACCAAAACAGACCAAAGCAGATGGAATGGCGGCTGGAGACAGACAGAACAGCGATGAACCGGCAGCCCCCACAACATGACAAAGCCAGGCCGGCGCCTGCGCCCAAAACAGCAGCCACAACGACTGGAGCTGGCAAGATGGCGACCAGAGCAGCCGGAGCTGGTGGGATAGCTGCAGAATCAGCAGCGTTCCGGAGACAGATGGAACAGCGATGAACTTGCGGGCCCCTTGACACAACAAAGCCAGGTCGGCGCCCAAAACCACAGCCACGACGATCGGAGCCGGTAAGATGGCGACCGGAGCTGGTGGGATAGTTGCAGGATCGGTAGCGTTTTCTGAAAACAGCTCTTCCAGGAGCAGTATTTTCCACTGAGAGCTGCCTCACCGAATCCCCCCTATGTTGTTCTTGCATATTACTCATTCTAGTTCAGTCCTCAAACCTTGGCTCCATACCTTTTAAGCGTTTTTTCCTCAGAAAAACCGGAGCGATAAAACTCAGGCAGTCATGTTCCTTGCGCATGTTCACCAAAAGAAGCAATTGTCTGCTGTGAGTAATGCTTCTATAGTTGGCCCATTACTTCTGCAAATTTTCTTTCTTTTCTTCTATATTTTGAGGTCTGAGATAGAGTTCCAATCCGTCAGTCTCCCCTTTCCATATTCCACTCTTGCCATTTCTGACCATGCTCAGTTTACTGTCAATATCAACAGTTTTCTTATCTCTTTGTTCATCTTTTTCTTCAATCTTTAGAACTCTGTCCTCAACTTTCATCATTGTTTGATAAGTATCCTCAATTTTTCCATCAATTTTTCCTGTTCTGTATTCTATGTTCTCCATTCTCTTCTCAATATTCTCTGTTGTTACTAGTATTTTTTGAATTTCTAGCATAATCATTTGCAATATTAATGTTTCTTTTTCATGTTGTGCCATTAAAGTTCATTATAATCTTTCAGGTCAAGGCTTTCCCTTCACTTGAGTTCAGCTACCAATAGTACTCCAGAAGAGCACCTTTATAAACAACCCGTGCTCTTCCCACTATCACTTTCAATAAACAAACTCAGAAGCCTTGAGATATAAATCAAATGTTCAAAGAGAAAAGAAAAAAACAATGTTTCCAAACATCCAGCCTCTAAGTGGCAGTGTTACTTCTTTGTCCTCTGCTTTTACATCCCTCTTTGTATTCCAAACTTAAGGAGAAGAGTTATTAAAAGTGATAGAATCCGATCAGGCATTGTAAAAAAAAAAAAGAAATTCTTAATCCATAAGTATGAAAAAAGAATTAAAAATAGAAGAAGAAAAATTAATCCAATTT